ATTTTTAATGTTTATTGTTTATATTAGAGAGAGAGAGCAAGCATGAGTGGGGGAGGAGCAGAGAGACAGAGACAGAATCTGAAGCAGGCTCCAGGCTCTGACCTGTAAGGTGTCAGTACAGAGCCTGACATGGGGCTTGAACTCACAAGCAGTGAGATCATGACCTGAGCTGAAGTCGGACACTTAACCAACTGAGCCACCCAGGCGCCCCTGATGGCATGTATTTCAGAGATGCTTGGGAGGAGAAAGATGGAGAAATGATCTGGAGGCGACCACAGACAGAACGGAAAGTATCTGCTGTCCTCCAGAGTATGCGAAAAGAAAAAGAGCTACCACTCCAGGAAAAGCAAGTTAATTCATGGGTAGGAGAAAGTGAAAAGGACATTCAGAGAAGACGTTGAAGATGTAGAAGATTTTGTAGATACTTCTCTAGACCTGAGGTCGGCACTATAGACATGCAAAGCAGCATGAGACACCTTTAACAAGCTTTCTAAGAACTTCAGGTAGGCAGGCGTATGGCAGGTAGGTGAAGGCATAAAACTTTATCCCAGAATCAAATATATGTCACTCTACAAGCTCTTTATCTTTTGCCTATTAGGTCTGTTGGTCAAAAAACATTTACTGAAAAGAAATTTAGCACATCAAAAGTGAACGACACCCTCCTGGCACAGATGAGGAGAAAGAAGCTCGGAAAGCAGAAATGGTTTAGTGCAGGCTTCACCCTCGTTAGTGACAGATTCAGGTCAGGAACTCAGGACTCTATCCAGTCCACCACGTCGTATGCCAAGCCCTGAACTGAGTGTTATAAAGGAACCAGAAGGAGTATAAACTATTCCTCCACACCCTCTATGCACTCAGTTACAGTGTAGGTGAGAATATGATACTCACAAATGAAGTCATTTCAGCAAACAGCATAACAATAAACACAAAATAGCTGTAAGTACCAAAGGGAGACAATGTAAAGTCATGTGTGGTTTTTCAAGGAATGTTTCCTGGTGATAATTTGTTTACGTGCTTTCAATAAATTCTGTAAGTAATTAGTGAGAATTAAAGAAAATTTGGAAAACAAAAGCAGAAAGAAAAAGAAAATTGTTTTTGAGGTCCCATTACCCAAACATTCATTACTACTAATATTTTGGCGTATTTCCATTGTTTTCTGGCATAAATGTTTTAAGTAAATACTTAATTTTAATAGACAAAACATACAAATAGTTCAAAATCCAAGAGATTAAAAAAAGTTGGATAGTAAAGAATCAGTCTTCTTCCCACTGACCACCACCCCTGTCTTCAGCCACATAGTTTCCTTCCCATAGTCCGTCTCTGTTCAGAGATTTATGTTTTCGGGGCGCCTGGGTGGCTCAGTCGGTTAAGCTTCTGACTTCAGCTCAGGTCATGATCTCACAGTTCATGGGTTTGAGCCCCGCGTCAGGCTCTGTGCTGACAGCCGGCTCAGAGCTTGGAGCCTGCTTCAGATTCTGTGTCTCCCTCTCTCTCTGATCCTACCCCATTTACACTTTGTCTCTCTCTCTCTCAAAAATGAATAAATGTTTAAAACAATTTTTTAAAAAGTGTACTTATAAAGTATGGAGTTTAGTTAATAATCACGTAATCACGAAGCTATATTGGATGATGAAGTATAGACCATACTAATGTAAGATGTTAATAATAGGGGGAACTGGGTGTGAGGAATACAATAATTTCCCCCATATTGCATCTCCATGAGGTAATACATATCTGTGTGAGCATGGAATCACTAATCAGCAATATCATATGAGGTAAACCCTGGGTTTGGCAAAGTGATCTTCACAAGTGGGGCTTTAATATTTTATCACAGAAGTGGGAAATCATAGGATTGGAAATGACTTAGAGAATAATTCATTCAACTTTCTGAGAGAATTAAACAAATAAACATATCTAAGAGATCACAATTAGGAGAGCCAAGATTATATAATCTAAGTTTTCTGGCTTTTATGTTAGTGATCCCTTCAATACAACAGATTACAACACACCTACTCAAAAATACCGCAAATGTGCATTGTCATGCTTCCGACATCATGCTCCCATTGTTCTTTGTATTTATAGCCACTCTGAGTTTTGGAGATGGTCATACTTTTGTTTTGTTTAATAAGCTTTATTTTGGGGGGGAACAGTTTTAGATTTACAGAAAGATTGAGAAGGCAATCAGAGTGTTCATATCCCCCACCCCTAGCCCCCAATTATTAACATCTTATATTAGTATGGTATGTTTGTTACCTTAATGTAATGATCCAGTACAGATTCATGTTTCTTTTTTCTTTTTCTTTTTTTAATGTTTTATTTATTTCTGACAGAGAGAGAGAGAGGGAAAGAGACAGCATGAGCAGGGGAGGTTCAGAGAGAGAAGGAGATACAGAATCTGAAACAGGCTCCAGGCTCTGAGCTAGCTGTCAGCACAGAGCCCGAAGCGGGGCTCAAACCCACAAACTAAACCGTGAGATCATGACCTGAGCTGAGGTCGGATGCTTAACCGACTGAGCCACCCAGGCGTCCCCAGATTCATGATTCTTAACTAAGCTCCATACTTTATCCAGATTTATTTAGTTTTACCTGGTGTCCTTTTCCTATTCTGGAATCTTACCCAGGATATCACATTTTATTTAGTCATCATGTCTCGTTAGGCTCCTCTTGGTTGTGATAGTTTCTTAGGCTTTCTTTGGGGTTTTTTGGTTGTTGTTTTTTTTTTTTTTAAGTTTATTTATTTTGAGAGAGAGAGAGAGAAAACGAGAAGTAGAGACAGAGAGGGGGAGAATCCAAAGCAGGCTCTGTACTCTCAGCACAGAGCCCAACAGGGGGCTCAATCCCACGAATCTTGAGATCATGACCTGAGCCAAAACCGAGAGTCAGTCAAGCCTGCTTAAGATTCTCTCTGTCTCCCTCTGCCCCTCTCCCCTGTTTGCTTTCTCTCTCTCTAAAATAAAAAAAAAGTTTTTTTTAAAAAAAAGTATGTGACTCTTGATCTCAGGGTCGTAAGTTTGAGCCCCACATTGGGGTAAAGATTACTAAAGAGAGAGAGAGGGAGAGAGAAACGTGGTGCTCTTGAGAGCCAGGGAAGTGGGTAGGGCAGCCGTGCTGGTGAGGCGAGGCAGGGTCTTGGACTTCCATGTGTTTGGTTTCAGGCGGTGGCTGCCTGTTCACATGATGATGTCTTGCAGAGAATTAGAGGTCTGAAGGAAAGTGAAGGCTCAAGGCTTAAGAGTGGACAGGCTCTGCACAGGCTAATCCTGGAACTCTAGAACAAGCAAGCTGGAAAGGGACGAGAGATCATCTCAACGTTCAGTCGCAACTGTTCCCATTTATAGAGTGTCCACTGAGGTCAGGTGCTGCACATGACCTGTCACCTCTTCTTTTTTTACCCTGCATCAACTCTGCAAGCAGGGTAGGCGTTGTTATCCATACTGTACACATGACACAACAGATTCCAGGGTTAAGTAACTTGCTCAAAGACACAGGGCACATCGGTCACTGACCAGCAATCAATCCTGTTGTGGGGAAGTCAAAGCTGTCCCACTGGTCTACTGGAGTTAGATCAGAAGGCCTCCAAGCCCCTGAAATAGCAGATTAGAAAGCTGAGGCCTAGAAAGAGAAAATAACTTGCCCAAGTGCACTTAGGTAGTTAGAAACCAAACTAGGGGGGCTCCTGGCTGGCTTAGTTGAAGGAGCATGTGACTCTTGATCTTGAGGTCATGAGTTCCAGCCCCACGCTGGGTACAGAGATTACTTAAATGAATAAAGTTTAAAAAAAAAAAGAAGAAGAAGAGGAGGCTCAGGTCATGATTACGCAGTTCATGAGTCCGAGCCCCGCATCAGGCTCTGTGCTGACAGCTCAGAGCCTGGGGTCTGCTTAGGATTCTGTGTCTCCCTCTCTCTCTGTCCCTCTCCTGCTCCCACTTTCTCTCTTTCTCTCTCAGGAAATGAACATACATAAAAAAAGTTTTAAAAATAAAGAAAGAAACTGAACTGGTGCTATAAACCAGGCACCTACTGTGACATGTCCCTAAAGGGAACCCTGTGCAAAAGGGACCTGGGGTAGGAAAGAAAAGCCAGTAGAGGGGCGCCTGGGTGGCTCAGTCAGTTAAGCATCTGACTTCGGCTCAGGTCATGATCTCACGGTTTGTGGGTTCGAGCTCCGTGTCGGGCTCTGTGCTGACAGCTCAAAGCCTGGAGCTTGTTTCAGATTCTGTGTCTCCCCCTCTCTCCGACCTTCCCCTGCTCACACACACACACACTCTCTCTCTCTCAGAAATAAATAAAAACATTAAAAAAATTTTTTTTTCTAAAAAGCCAGTAGAGAAGACACATACAAAAAAGAAACGAAGGAAGAACTTCTCAGTGGGGCTCACAAGGCCTTGCCTACAATTCTCCACATAACCTCCCCTCTCTCTCCATCACACAGCCTGCACTTTTGCTACCCAGGTTCCTTGCGGTTTCTCACAACACCACGTGACGCTACACCTACTGCCCTCACCACTCCTGGAAAACCGCTCATTCGAAACCCAAGCTTCCCGTGCCCTGTGAGGTCTTCCACTCAAGCCTCAGGAGAGGGCATTCCCCCAGGACCCTGTGCAGGCCCTGCAAAGTGAGCTGTGCCTCTCTGAGCACCTTCAGAGTAGTGATTTGATTTCATCATATCCACCCCTCTTTCACCAGCGCCCGCCATGCCATCCCACCGAACAAACACTGGGGGAAGAGAAAGAAACGACGACAGACAGGAGGAGCCCAGGATCACATGAAGGGAGGCCCAAGGACATGGAGATAAAGCTGACTTTATCTCTTCCCTGCGCACACCCACCCCTTGTCACTGGTCGGGACTGCAGTGTACTGGATGGCCATAGAAGGTGCCAAGCATGCGGCAGGTAGGAAAGATAGTGGTGAGGCAGAGCGGACAGGCATCCGACCACTGTATTTATGTTCGCATGTATGTAGATTATACATAAACTGCATATTTTCTGGTTGAGAGACGACACAGGAGGATTCCTGGAACTGGTGCCTCGTCGAAGGCTGAAGCAGCAGACATTCAGTGGAGGCCTACAAGGGGGAATCGCAGTGGGAAGGAGGTGAGAGGCAGTCTTCTGGGCAGAGAGGTGGGCAGTCGGGGGCGCAGCTCTCTGGGAAGGGACGGGCCTCCTGAGGACGGGCCAGGGCAGCCAGGCGCTGCTGTACACACTCAGCTGTCAGCCGTGCTTCTGGGTCTGCGTCCCAACAGTCCTCTAGCAGCTCTCTCAGGCCACCAGGGTCCTGGGAAGAAGGACCAAGAGGCAGGCTTAATCCTGGGATCCTGAGTGGCCCCCTGAGAAGCCCCAGAGTCCAAAGGGGTCCACCACTACCCTCTTCTCAACACTCCTTTTCGGACCCTCCCTGGAGCCTCCTTCCCCCGGGCCCAACTGCATCTTGCTCCCTCTGAGGCAGGTTCTTTGGGTGCCTTCCAGAGGGCCCACCTTTTCCTCTGAGGAGCTAATTCGGGTTAATGACTTAACATGCCGATGGGAAATTACTCTCCTTCCTTTCGGGCAACCAGGGTCTTAGGCAAACACTGCTTAACCCAACACATACTTGTGCAGTGGAAATTTCAGACCAGGTAGCAGGGAAAGGGGCTTGCTGTTAGGAAACTATTTATACAGACCCTGAAATTTCACTGTTTGGCCACCTTTTTTAACCCTTTATACCTAGGGTTGGCTTTTATTGAATCATGGCAGAAACCCAGATGTGTAGGACAGGGCGAGGAATTATTAGATGGAATGTTGGGCTCCCAGATGCCAGGAGTGGAGCCATTTTGGGAGTCTAGCTCAGAGGAGAAGCAAGGCCAAAGTGGGTTTCCTGGAGGAGGGGCCTGAGACACAGGGCTAATGGATGGTGGAGACAAGAGAGACAGACCAGGCAAGTCTGAGTAAGAGGAAGGTACCTCACTCGGAAATGGCCGTATGGGGCTTATGGTAGAAGAGGATGAGCGGAGGTACAAGGCAAATTTGCTCAGCTCCGGCTGAACATGAGCCAGGAGCGGTGGCAGATGAGAGGAGACAGGAGCAGATGGGCTGGTCCTAGAAGCCAAGTCTTTGAAGCTCAGGCCCACACTCTCCAGGTCCCCAGCCCACCAGCAGGCGGCCTCTTACTGTGGTGAAGCAGTGCCAGGTGGATGGGATGTAGGGGCGCCTTCTCTCCTCCACGGCCAAGGTCCACAGCTCACAGGTGGTGGGGGTGCTGCCCAGTTCTGCCTCATAGGCCAGTTGGAAGGGTGGTGGTCTGCTGTCTGGGGAAAGGCACAAGGGGCTAGGTGTCAGCTAGCCCTAGGGTGCCTCCTTGTGGAAAGGCCAATAGGGAGAAGGGGAGATCTTCCTGCGGCAGGAGGTAAGTGGATCTAGAATGGGTGGGTGAGATGGGAGGAGGGGAGAGGGGGCACTGTCACACTCCTCCTTACCAGGCCACAAATCCGGGCAGCGGCTCAGGATCTCCCATAGGAGCAGAGCCAGAGAGTAAACATCGGCTTGCCGGAGGGCCGTGCCCCAGTCTTGTAGGTCCAGAGTCTTGTCCAAGAGCTCTGGTGCCATGTACCTCTGGGTGCCAGCCTGAAGAGAAAGGTGTGGAGGGCCAAGAATCATCTCCCTGGCAAGCCTCACTGCAACACTGGTCGGTGCGACATCCCCCCAGCTAGACTCATCAATGTCCCAAACGCTACAGGTCCCACTGCACTGTTGCCACAGCAAAGGGCACATCTTCGTCAGGACCACTGCCATCATCTCCGGGCCTCCCCCTCGTGCAGAGTACTCACCTCCATGATGGCAGCTGGGCCTCGGGGTGGAGTAGGGGCCCAGGTGGGAGGCTGGGTGAGGCCAGGGAGCACCAAGGCGAGGCCCAGGTCTCCAATGGCACACGACCCATCCTCCCGAATGAGCACATTCTGGCTGCTCAGATCTCGATGGGCTATACCTGGTTTATAGTGGCCTGTGGGAGAAGCCAAGGTTGAAGCTGTATGGACATTCTTCCTTTCTCTTTTGACCCAGTTCTTCCCCTCCGAGCTAAGGGAGAATCAGAAACATAACAGTATGGCTCTTGACTCCCACGGCCTCCTACCCCCAGCTCACCCACCATCCTGCCAGCGCTCCTCATGGAGAAATGCCAGGCCCTGCGCTAGGGACAGCGCCATCCGCATGGAACTTCCCCAGTCACTGGTGTGCTGGGTCAAGTAGTGGCACAGGGAGCCCTAGGGAGAAGCAGAGAGAAGAGGAAGACACATAAGCTGGAGGTGGCTGATCTACCCCAGGGAGCAGAGATCAATTGACAGACGTCCGCCTTCCTCTCCCAGCAGACTGACACGCTGATCCATCCAGGCTGAGACAAGAGGTGGTGGAGGAGTGAGAACGTGCATCAGTCAGATCGACTGGAAAAACAGTAACCCTAGTTCAAGTGTCTGAGCGCTTACGGTGTGCCAGCCCTCCCGTAGTCCTCAACAACCCAAGGAGGCGTGTACTCCTGTCACTCCCATTTCACAGTTGAGGAGCTTGGGAGAGAGCTAAGTAAACTTGATGGAAGTCACTTGGTGAGAAACAAGGGGAGCTTGGACCCAAGCGGCCTGACTCTAGCGTTACTCACCTAGTAACCACCTTATACTGCCTGGGGACTTGAGACAAAAACAGAAACAGAAGAGGCAAGGCAAGCTAGGTGCTGGTACCCTTCATGAACCTCCTGGCCTGAGGTGTCAGGCCTGTCTGGGATAGCCGGCCCGATGGGGAGAGCCATTGGGCAGGAAAGCAGCGGGGGAGGGGGAGGGGGACAGGTGGAAATTGGGAGGGAAAGAAGCAACAGCATCCTTCATTCAACAAACATTACCAAGTGCCATCAGTGGGCCAGGGAGGTCAAACAAACAAACAAAACCAAGAAAGCAGAGATTTTTGAACTAGGCATTGAGGCGCATGGTCAAAGAGAGGACTTCCCAGAAGTCAAGATTTCAGAGATAGAGGACTGCAGGTGCTAATAAAGTCCCAAACCCTTAGCAGGCCCACAAGGCCAGGTCTGGTCTGATCCTTGCCTACCTCTTCCTCTTCATCCTTCCCGTCCATGACCCTCCTCTTGAGTCCTATCTCTTACTCTTCTCTCACAGTACCCCTCTCTCAGCTCTTAATGCCCTGGACATTTGACACTCAGCTTTGTGTTTACCTAACCCACTTCTGTCTCCCCCACTATTCTATAAAATCTACAAAGGCAGGGACACCTGGGTGGCTCAGTCGGTTAAGCCTCTGACTTTTTTTTTTTTAATGCTTATTTATTTTTGAGAGAGAGAGACACAGAGTGTGAGCAGGGGAGGTGCAGAGAGAGATGGAGATACAGAATCTGAAGCAGGCTCCAGGCTCTGAGCTGTCAGCACAGAGCCGGACGCGGGGCTCAAACCCACGAACCGTGAGATCATGACCTCAGCCGAAGTCAGAAGTTTAACCAACTGAGCCAGCCAGGCGCCCCAAGCCTCTGACTTTTGATTTCAGCTCAGGTCATGATCTCATGGTTCATGAGTTCGAGCCCCATGTTGGTTCCGTGCTGACAACGCCAGAGCCTGCTTGGGATTCTCCCTCTCTCCCTCTCTCTCTGTTCTTCCCCTGCTCACGCTCTCTCTTTCTCTCAGTATAAATAAGCATTTAAACAGTTTAAAACATAATAAAATAAATAAAATCTACAAAGGCAGAGACTAAGATGTTTTTCTTAGCCCAAGAAGTGTGACATATAGTTCATACATATTTATTGAATGAATATATAAGTGACTTTGGAGGGCTGTGCCTTGAGATATTTAACAATGGTTTCGTTTTCTTTAAGGTTGGGAATATGATAGTTTTGATATCTCCCTTTCTTTGTATCTTCTGAGTTAAAAATATTAGCAAGTATTGGTTGTGTAATAAAAAACAAGAAGAAACCTCCCCAAAACTATTTTTAATGTTGTAGAGAAGAGGAAGTCTGAAGAATAAGTACGAGCAGGACCTAGCTGCCACCCAGCCTTGCACCCACTTATACACACATGCAAACACATATAGATGTCCCTGGGTCCTCACCTTCGGGTGCAGCTCCAGTACCAGCAGGGGCCCACGGGGCAGGGGCCCAGGGCCCCCCCTGCTGGCGGTGATAAAGCGGACAACGTGGTCGTGCTGTAGGCTTGGCAGTTCGTACAGTGCCCTCTCAGCTTGGAACTGTGCCACGGCCCTCAGGGAGAAGGCCTTGATGGCTACCAGCTTGCCTTGCAGCTGCCCAGCCCACACCACTGTGTGACCTCCTTCCCAGATTACCTGGTGGGGACACGGTGCCGGGTGTGGGCCTCAGCGAGCGTCAGGGCCGGCTTCCTCCCCAGATCGCCTTCTGGGGGTGCCTGGAGGACCCTCCCCCCATCCCCGGGCACCTGGGAGAAACACAGCTCGGGCAGCTCGGGCAGCTCGGCACTCCAGTCCCTGCCTGAGTCTGGCTCTGGTTCCAGCTCCGGCTCCGGCTCTGGCTCTGGGCCACCTTGGACTCTGCAGGCCTTTCGCTGTAGCAGGGCTAGGGTGGAAAAAAGCCCTTGAGTCAGGGTGCACAGTCACAGAGACTGGGAAGGGGGTTTTGTGGGAGGTAACAGGCTCAGGGTGTAGAGATCTCAGAACCATGGGGTCAGGGGAACCTGGAGAGGGGTCAGAGCTTTGGGGCAGTGACTTGAGGTCACAAGGGAGGGATGGGGGTAGATTAGTACCCAAGACGATGCTGCCCAGCAGCAGCAGGAGGAGGAGGAAGAGCCCCAGCAGCACCAGAACCATCCAGATGGACTCGCCTGGACATTAAGGCAAGAATGCAGCCTGGATGAGCCCTGCCCCAAATCTGCTCTGTTCCTCTCACCCTCCTCAGAGAACTTGCTTCTGGACCCACCCCCACCTTGGTCACAAGCCCCTTATCTCCCAGTCACCAGGGCAACCAACTTCTCAAGGCCAAAAGGAGGGAAACTTGGGATGGGGGTAGGGTGAGAACTGGCCCTGGTTCTACCTCTCATCCTAACCTGGGCCCCAGCCCCCACCAGTCCCCGGCACCCTGAGGGGCTACCTGGGACAGCTTGGGGACCCTGGGAGCCAGGAGTCCCAGGGCTCCCTGGAGGAGGCAGATGGCTGTAATTGGCATTGCAGAGGTCAGTGCCACAGGAGCAGGTGAAGAGAGTGGACCCGCGGCCAGGGTGGGCTCGGGGGCTCAGGTCACAGTGGGGGGACTCACAGTCTGGCTCATCACTGTCTCGGCATCCTGATGGGGTGGGATTAGAAGGCGAAGAAAAGGAGGGGGAGAGAGAGAGGGCGAGCGCAAGCATAATGGAGTCTAGGAACAGAGAGGGTAACCCCCTCCTCTATCAAAGACATCCCCTCCATCTCATGTGGGCTTTTTCTTTCCCTCCACACATTCCGTTTCTCCTTCTCTCCCACTGCTGTCACCCCCACCCCAGGATGTACCTGTCTCCCACCATAGCTATCACCTGCTATATACTTTGCCATTCACCTTGCATCTCCACCTGTGCCTGGTGTTGGGTCAGGTTCCAGATCCCAAAACAGCAGCGGCTGTAGAGGCAGCGGATAACCCTGGGGGGCCCTGGTCCTGCATCTAGCAGCGTCCCCAGTGTCTTTGTGCTTCCCCGCACTCCAGGGGCCTCAAAGAACACACAGGTCCGCCTGCTTGGGGGTGCTGTGGCCCAGGGTGGGGAGAGGGGAGGGTTCAAGATGGGAGTGAATGCAGGGGCACAAGCAGCAGCCAAAAGGAGGGACAAAACATGTTTCATATCCCAGGGCCAGCATGGTCAAGCCACAGGAGGAAACAGGGTCAGCGGAGGCCTGGAACCTGACCCCACCATGGGGACACATGGCTGTACCTTTTGCCCTCACTCACCCACCCCACTGACTCTTCCAAAGGGGTGGCTGCTGCTTCAAGTCCCCCTTTCCCTCAGTGGGCGAGTGGAAAGGCTCTGCCCCACCCTGTAGACACTTACCGTGCACAGCTATGGGAAGGAGAACCCAAAGGCCCAGAGTCCCCAGCATCGTGCTGGAGGAGGCACGCAGCATGAAGAGGGCAGCATGAACCAGCACCGCTGCCCCAGCCAGAGCTTCATCCAGATACAGGGCTCCGTGGGTCTTCTGAGCCCTCAGTCCCCAACTCCGCCCCCCTCCCTCTTTCCAGTCTCTGTGGGGGAGATGGCTGCTGTGGGGGAGAGGATGGGTGTAGGGAAAGGCAGGGAGAGGGAGGAGCAGAGAAGCAATCGCATATCCTCTTCTCTGCAGCCGCCTCCTCTTTTCTCTGCAAAGTGGGAGGAGGGGGGTCTTGGAGGCCCAGCTGAGAACCCTGTGATGCCTGACTTCAGAGCTCTGCCCTTTGCTGACCCTGAAAGAAAGTGCTGGATCCTGTCAGCCCTTCTCAGACTGGAAACCAGAGTGAGGTCAACTGAACCATTCAGCTGTGCCCAAGATCCCTCTAACCCTTATTTTCAGGGCTCAGATCTATAGCTCTCTGGGCAGACAAGCTTCACAGACCATACTAAAGTTGACCTTAGTTTCCAAACTCAAGAATCAGAAAGACATTATATAAAATTTCTGAGTTAAAAAAACTGAAACACATTTGAAACACATTGAAAAATGGGAATAATGGTAAATTTTATGTTACCAAAATTTTAAAAATCATATTGAGTCATACACTGAACAAATCACTATTATTGAGAAGGTAACAAACTTTTATTGAGCACCTATGTGCTACGGCAGAGCTAGGGCTTTGTATTTTACAACTATCTCATTTTCCCATTGAGCTCTTTATTATTATTTTCACTTTACAGGTAAGACAGCTAAGCTTAGGTGACTTGCCCAAGGTCACTTGCTCTGTAAACAACAGAGCTAGGATTTGAACCTAGGTTAAGTCTGATTCCAAAGCCCAGCCTCCGTTCTTTACGTCATGATGCCTGAAAACCAAAAATTCAGCAATAAAAAAATTTCCATTTGATACAGTATTTGAATATTTGAATTTGGATGGTTGAGAAAATACACATCATTCATTACCAGCCAGCAGGCCACTAACTAAAAAGGGAGGGTCCAGTTCAAACTATCGCCACCAGAGGTCAGTAGACATAGGAGAAACTCAGGATGCTTCTTCCAGGGGGCAAAAATCACCAGCCTCCTCTGATGACTAAAATCACACCTCCTGTATCTATTAGGCTGCAGGGACTGTAAAATGTGAGGGGAGAGCACCGGGTGTGTGGCAGGAATGTCAGCATGGAGAGGGAAGAAGTCTATGGTTTGTGGTGCAATAGGAGACAGGAGTCCAACTCCACCAGACTCCTCCCTAAAGTGAGAGATTACAGTAATAGGTGATCATTTCCGCATCTGTGAGCAGTTGGCTCGCATGAGAATTAGAGTCAGAGGGGACAAGTTCCCTGTTTTCCTAGCCTCTGTCCCCCTGGTGGCTGCCTACAAATCCTTTCTGGCAGTGGTCTGGCTTAGACCAAGAATGAGGCTATAACTTTTTTTAAAATATATTTATTAATGTTTTATTTATTTTTGAGAGAGAGAGAGTAGGGGAGTGGCAGAGAGTGGGGCAGAGGATCCAAAGCGGGCCCCTGCACTGACAGCAGAGAGCCCGATGTGGGGCTCAAACTCACAGACTGTGAGATCATGACCCGAGCTGAAGTCAGATGCTGTATTTAACCACTGAGCCCCAAGTATTAACTCTTGAATTCTGGAGCCTTTCTCCTGGGGACCCTGCATGAAGGAAGGAAAGAGTAAAAGCTCCAGTAATTGTGAAGGAGCAGCTGGAGGAATGATGAGGGCCAGAGGCAGATGGACAGCTGCCCATCCCTCCCTATGATCTTCTGGGAGTCTGCAAGGCCCTGCCAGCGAGATGGAATGTTTTACTTAGTTACTGCGATCTTCCTCCACCAGCTCCCAGATCAGATAAGTCTGGGGGTTGGGCAGGGGAGGAGTTGAAGATCAAGTAACTTCTTGTGTCTGGAGTGTCTCTGGAGACTACCTCCTCCAGAGGGGAACCAGGCAAGGATCAGGCAGGAAGGCAGCCTCCTCACCCAAAGCCTTGGATAACTACTCCTTTTCAAAGACAGAAACATTCCAGCCAGGTTTATGAAGTGAGGTGGAGATAGAAGGGGTAAGAATCTGAGAGCTGAGGGATTAGGAAGGTCCTGAGAAAGTACCTCAGCATAGAAATAAAGTCTCCCTGGATTCCACATACAGAAAGATCTTCATCAGGATCCTGATTCAAGTATGCAGTGGCCCAATAAGTAAACTGTGACCCCATCTACAAGGCTGAAATGAGTTGTTTATTCATTCAACTCAGAAATTTTTTTTTTTTTTAATTGAAGTAATCTCTACACCCAAGATGGAGCTCAAACTCATGACCCTGACATCAAGAGTTGTGTGTTCTTCCAATGGAACCAGCCGGATGCCCTCAGGTGTGTCTTAAAAAGGAATTCCAGTAGGTGTTGGGTCTACAAAGAGATGTGTGTGAATCATGCCACTCCAGAATCTCAGAGTTGAGAAAGGAAGGAAGATCGACAAGTAACCAGAAAATTACGTGTCAGACTAAGGGTATGGCCAAGGAGCTATACAAGCAGAAAGATCAAATAAGCTAATTCTGTCCAGGGCACAGAAGACAAGAGAAGAAAAGAACCTACAGGGTGTGTGTTGGGGGCAGGGAGAGTGAGCAGGAGAAAGGGCTCTGAGATATGAAGAAGAAAATGACCCTAGATTGGAAGGTTTTCATCAAGTCTCTATCACGGAGACTGGACTTCTCCCAAAAGCAAAAAATTTTAGGGAGGGATATGGTGGCAATGTGGAAGATGGATGATCAGCTCAGGGAGACTAGAAGCAGGGAGACCAGTTATGAGACCTGAGCAGTAGCCAAGGCTGAGTACTACAACAGTGGACATAAAAAGGAAAAAAGTTGAGATACACTGTATTGGTAATATCGACAGGATTAGTAATCAAATGAATGTTGGTATTTGAAAGAGAGAATTAAAAGATTTCAAGTATAAATGATCAAGGGGTAGCAACACTGTTAAGGGAGATGAGGAATACAAAGGATTATTTCCCCTTCTTACACGTTCATTCTAAGTTATCTGTGGGACAAACAGATGAAAATGTCCCGTAAGCAGTCCACCAGGTTGAGAGAAAAGGTAGGGCTTAGATCTGGGATAGCTGAAAAGTGGATGCAACTTGTTTAAGGGGGGAAAGGCAGAGTAAGGGAAAGGACACAAGACAGGGACACCAACATTTAAGGGACAGAAGTAGTAGCTATGGAAACAAAGAGTCAGAAAGGCTGAAGGAGAACCAGGAGTTAATAAGCCTCACACTCCAAGGGACCAAAGCTCTAAGATGCGCATGGTTGCTTCTTAGTAAGGTCTAAGAGCCAAAGGACTGAAAGACCACTGGAGCTGGCAACCAGATCACTGATGCACTGATGTTCCTAAGAAACCATTTTCTTTTTTTTTTAATTTTTTATAGTTTATTTATTTTTGAGACAGAGAAAGACCGAGCATGAGTGGGGGAGGGGCAGAGAGAGAGGGAGACACAGAATCTGAAACAGCCTCCAGGCTCTGAGCTAGTTGTCAGCACAGAGCCCGACACGGGGCTCGAACCCACAAACCATGAGATCTGACCTGAGCCGAAGTCGGACGCTTAACTGACTGAGCCATCCAGGCGCCCCCTAAGAAACCATTTTCTAAGGTGCTGAACAAAGTGTCCTGAGGGGTCAATAAAAGAACTAAGTGTAAACTACTTGTGCTAAATCTGACAATGAAAATAACTAGATCTGAAGTTTGCAAGTGGAAGCAGGACAGGGGGAGAGATTTTAACAGGCTTACAGGGTGACAAAAGGGAACCCAGGGGAGACTGAAGATGAAAGGGGAAAACATCATCAAAACAAGGAAATAAGGTTGAGCGCACAAATGATAGGGCTGGTCTTGCAAAGGCAAACGGTTTCTCTCCCAAGAAAAGAGAAGGAGGTAAACTAGTATCAGTGAATATATAAATGTTTGCAGGGAAAAGGGAAGTGAAGAAATTCATGCTTACATTCTCTCCATGTCATAGGAAGTAAATCATCTGCTAAAACAATGGGGTCAGGATTAGGAAACCTGCAATTAATGGGGTCTCTCTTTCACCAGACTCTGAAGTACTTGGTGGCAGGACCTGTCTTATTTTTTATCCTCAATCTAGCTTAGTACCCAGAACACAGTTAAGGGCCCAATAAATATTGACTGAATGAATAGATGACACAAATATTAAAGGTTCATTTAGAGCTACAAAACAGGAAAAAAAATAAAAAAAAAAAATAAAAGACCCCCCAAACCAAAACATCCCTCTCCGATAAAGCCAAATGTTAAAATGTTATATTGCTAATGGCTACGTAAGGAAATCCAATGGCTGAGTTTATCCATGGCTGAGTGACAAAGCAAAGGTAGTCACATGAACACAACTGACTGGGAATGCTGGTAGCCACAGTATAAACAAGTGACCAAGGATTCTTGGGATAGGTAGGACAGGAAGTGAAGCCATAGGCTGTTGGGAATTGGAAAGACTGTCAGAATAACTTCAATTTCCGTTTCAGACGGGGACCATAATCCAGATCCGATCATGGTAGACACAGACGGGTATTAACCGAATGTAAAATACATTGGGGCTACATCTTAGTTTCTAAATACCATTTCTCCAACAGAAAGAACTAAGGGTCCTCGGAGAAATAGCTGATCCTAAAGCTAGAACAGGGAAAATACAGGATAAGCATGAAGCATCTTGTGCATCTGAAAGTTCTTTAAAAAGTGCTCAAAATAAATAAATGAATAAATAAAAGGATGTAGATGTATCAAAGAGACACAGGAGCCAACCTGAAAGAGCTCCCAATGGCCAAAGCTGGGACAATTTGAGCAATGAAAATAATATAGTACCGAATTATAGACCAGGTATAAAAGAAGTATACATGGAGTACATACCAATAAAAATTAATGGGGGGCGGGGGAGAAGAGACCTTTTCCTCACAGAATCCCAAATACTCTATATAGATACTATTTCCACTGGGAAGGGAAACTAAATTCCTATCAATTCAATTAAGGGTGGGCTAGACTTACTGACTTGCTTCCATAGAATAAGGAAAGAAAAACTGGAAATATCTGACACACATTACCTTAACCAAGTGATGAAGATTATCATTGGTAATGCCATGTAGCTATAGTATACCCCTTGGTAGGATGTGATGAGGGCATTTCACATCATTTCACCTGTGTGGTATTTCTTCCCAAAACCTGTAAGCTCAGGCTCATAATGAGAAAAACATCAGACAAATTCAGACTGGGGGATATTCTGTAAGACACTTGGCCAATACTCCCAGACTGTCAAGGTCATAAAAAATAAGAAAAGACTAAGATACTGCCACAGACCAGAGGAGACTTGGGAGGAGTACAGCTACAGGCAATGCAGCAGCCCAGAATGGATTCTGGTACAGGAGGAGATCCATGGGAAAAGGTGAACCCATAAAGCCTGGGGTTTGGCTAATGTGATATACCAGTGTCAGTTTCTGAGATTTGACAACACACAATAGTATATTAACAATGGAAAAAATCGGGACGGGGTATATGGAATTTCTCTGCACTATCTTTGCAACTTTCCTTTAAATTTAAACGTATTCCAAAATAAAAAGCTTATATACAACAAAAGAGGTTGGGCCTGCCCTGTTCCTCCTGGTCCCCCACATTTCTATGTACCTGTGGCACACTGATACAGTCATGGAATTGACTGCCTGGGAGTTAAGTGTAGGGCAACTGTATTCACATGTATGAGAGCACAATGGTGTACCTGAAAACCTTTGTTGGGTGCAATATATGAAGTTATAACCGTATTTCTCCCCATTCCCACCCTGTCAACACACCAGAGACGTGGCTTTTTATTAAAAAAACTTTTTTTAATTGGTTTACAAAGGAGCTACAGACTACATTGAAACTAATCTTTGTACAAAAAGGCAAAAAAAAAAAAAAAAAAAAAAAAAAAGCCCCAAAACACCCAGAGACAAAAGGTTGGGGGAGAGACAAGAAAGGAAGATACGAAGGAGTAGGAAGAAACTGAAAGACAAGAGATTAGCATCATACATACACAAGATCAGGAGTGAAAAAAAGAGCAAGAAAGATGAGAGTGCATTTAAAAGTTTTTCCCCACACAGCCCTGGTGATAATCGGATTGGAATCAACAACAAACACAGCATGAGAATATTAAGAGATTTAAAAAGGCAACAGTGGTATGGAGACTGGTTATCGCCAGTGTTGAGAAAGAAACCTGTTGTAGGCACCAGAGACTGGAGCACTGCCCCTCCCTCCCGGAGGATGGCAGACCCGGGAAGAGGAAGCAGGCCCTAGGGCAGCTGCCATTGGTGTGTGTAGAGAGGGTCTCCTCAGGTCAATCTCAGCATATGATCCCCATCTTCCCCCCAAAGTCTTTGTACCCTAAACTCCAGGTGAGGGTATGGGATGCAATTGGGAGAAAAAGGTGAAGACCTGCCCTTGTCCACACTGTTCAAGAGCAGTTGCTGGGAGAATGGAGGGCTGGGTAGACAAAGCCCATTCCCCTGTGGAGAAGGCACAGTGTAATTCCTGAAGGTGAGACAGAGGAAAACACACACCCCAGGAGAGGTATCAACAGTCCTCACCACCTGCAGCCCCAGCTTAACCCCATTTGTTATGCTTTTTCGGATACTTAGGGGAGTTGAGGGACAGATCACCACACCTCTTCTCACTTAGAGGGACAAAGAAGCCTGGGGATGTTTGACAATAAGGAAAGAGGAAAATAGGACAATGTACTCATTTCTCTCAAATGAACGTGGTAGAGGAAATCCTTCTGGGTTTGGGGAAGTCAAACTGGAGAAGACATAAGGGAGGAATGAAGCCAGGAACCCCCTTTTTTTTCCCCTTTCCTAGCCTTCAATCTAAGGCAAGTGAGCCAAACTGGAAAGAGGGAGTAGGAATTTAAGCTTAAGGCTGTTCAATGTCCTCCCGGGGGCTGGTGTTTAGGGAAGGCAGACAAAGAAAAGAAACAGGTCAACCTCAAAGCTGGTCTGCTCATCCTCCTAGAAGAGGTCTGTACCCCAGGAGGAGAGCCAAGAGAGGCACCAGAGAGAACACACGCTCCCAAACAAAAGTAATAACCTGCCCACATTTTATCAGCAGTTTTCAAAAGCAATGTTTTCCGGGGCTGGAGAAATGCCATATCCTCCTCCCTTTCCCCAAAACTACTGCTGCTACCTTTCATCCTTGCATATTAAGTTACTGGCTCTCTTCTAAGGGAGATGAAACTCTGAGATTTCACATTTCTCTTCCCAACCCCAAGAGGCTACCCAGCTTTGAATAGGGGGAAGGAGAGCTATGCTTAGGGCCCCTCACTTGTGGCAGCTAGACCACCCTCATTTCCTTGGTACTGGGATCTCCAAAACTTGTTTGGTCTGATCCCAAGGCCCAAAAGGCATCAGGGTACTTACAATTGAATGAAAACTCTTAAGCGAGTAGCACCAGGGCTCCCCAAAGTGTAACAGGGGCCTGATTAATATCCCCAGAAGAACCCCTCAAAAAGTATATAAATTTATTGCGTCCTAGCAAAGATCTGCAGCTTCCAGTATTCACACAGTGTGGAGATATTAACAATACAAAATATATTCTGAAAGTCAAACATCTGCAGTTCATAGTGCTTTCTCAGATTTGTTAAAAAAATACAATGCTTAGTTTCCTATATAGGATATACAAAAGCAAAAAATATATATATATATGTATATAGTAGAAATAAATCAATCAGCCATAGTAATTTACAGCTTTTGTCTCTAACCCTCCCCCAATCATAATCTTTACCCCCACACTTCAGTCTATATTTTCTGGGAATCAAGGGTTCTGTGTTCTATTTATTCTGAATCAGGCTGAGAAATATCCATTAAATTGCATTCTGCACAGCACCCACAAACAGGGTGCTGGCTGGGAGGTCCCTGAAGGAAGATGGTGTGGGTTGTTACTGCTCTGGGTTAAAAGTGAGACAGTCAAATGATACACAGATGAATGTGTATGGGCAACCTGAAATGACAAGTGAATGAGTGCTTTAATATTACCACTCCTCTGAGCATTTCCTGACCCACAGGTTTGGTCGTTTAAAATTTTTAAATAAAAAAAGCAACTCATGAAAGAAATTTGAGAATATGCCTGTCAGTTACATTGATTTCTGCTGGCCAAAAAGTTCAGGGAAAGGACTTTCAGCAGTAAGCTCCTGTCTTAAGGAATGTAGGCTCCTCACTCTCTGTGGAAAAGACTGAGCAGCTCACTGCTACTGGGAGACCAGAGCAGAAGCTGTTTCAGTTTGGAGGCCAAACAAGATACTGGATCTGGAGCTTCCTTGGTGATCAGGAAAAAGGGCATGTGGAAAGAACTGACTATGAATTCACTTAGAGCAATACTAATGAGGGGGACTGAGGGTAAACCAGCATTCCATCCCAGAGAAAATCATCATCAAATAACCTTCTCAACACTTATAAGTCCTCAGCATCATTAAGCTAGTTTATAGCAAATAATTTCATACTGGGGAAGATTCCATTCTTTGAAATGCTCTAGCAAAATACTGCACACTCCAGTTGAGTTATACTGCCCCTCTCCTCCAAAAGATACCTATACACATGATTACAGACATAAAATAACAGGTTCTGAGTTCTGCATTTCAGTGGGAATAAAGGGTGTGTGATACATGGCTGGGCATGGATGACTTTCACTTCAGTATTAACAGAATTTGATCTGGGAAAGTTTCTCACAATAGTTCCTGAGTATATTAAGTTCGCAGACAAGGGACCAAATGGAGCAAACTATTGTTTAGAATATTAACAGTTATTGTATTTCAGGTTAAACAACAACACAAGCTTACCCAGACACTAATTTGGATAGATTTTATATAAAATATATAGTAGAATCATAGCATCATCTATTTGTAGTCAAGGTAAAAAGATTTATGAAAGAAACTAGGACTCTGCTATAGATCCGGATGTTGGTTTCACTTTCAAACACAAAAATAGTTTCTTTTTAAAAAGTGCAGTAGAATATCCCCCATTCATAATTGTAACTAATTTAGCATAAGCAAAGAAATGACCTCAGGAACATACCCAGGTTTTAAGATAGATTTCTAGGTAATGGGCCTGAAAGGCATTTTGAGCTGAATTTATTTTCCAACAATTTCAAATATAATTCCTCATCTGTGTGTAGATATATACAGGCACAAAACACATTCACACACAGTCATACACAAACACTTCATTTTCTATCAGATCAGGGCAATTTTTTATTGCAGGTCTCTTTTAGTATAGGCTAACAGAAAACCTATCCCCAACCTAACAGACTACACACATACACACAGCCATTTCCACACTTCCTCACAGTGAAAAGCTCTCTGACAGATACTAGAAGGTCTAGAGAGACAATGTTTTAATGGCTGGGCCTTGAGGACAACTCTGGTTGCATTTAAATCTCAGTGCCAAATGCACTAAGAGTTCCCTGCCGCTATAATTTTTGGATCAGTCTCTTCAAGAATCAGGCCATGGAGAAAGCAGGATGGTGTCTCCCAATCTCTCCTATAAACCACAGTGGTAAGACAAGATTTCTTTTTGTTCTGGGCTACTGTTCCCATGATCGTGTGCTTCCTTTTCCCTTAGGAACCACCCAAGGAAGAATTAAGGGAAAAGATCAAAGAACCACTGCCTTGCCACGGGTACAGGCTCTGGAGCTCTGCAGAATGGAAACCCGGAACAGATTCATTGGCTGATGCTCCTTAATAACATGAGAAAGAAACTACTAGGGATGTTCAAAAGAGGAAGTACATTTCCTGTCAGAATGTGACCTCAGAAACCCATACCAAAGCTTAGACCTACTTTGGAAGACAGCTGTACAAAAGTCCAAATACTCCACTAACTCCTGAACTGGACTACTCTGAGTCACTTCCACTTCTGAGTGCATCATTTTCCTACTGAAAACCCCTACCTATTATTTGACCACTTTTGACAGTTTATACAAACTGATCCCAGATTATAACCTTTAAAGGGTCTCTTGTACAATTCCACAGAAAGACTTCTGACTCTTGATGCTTAGAGCAGCTGATGAGGAGAGGTGCCTTGGACTCTCCAGCGCCAAGAGGGTGCCTGCGTCAGCAGTAGTTTTGAACACTCTCTCCACAGCTATCTCAAGCATCAGCCTGGGCTTCAAGGCTCTCCATTCTGCTGCTGGGACCAAGAACCTTAAAAAGTTGACAGAAGTGCCTCATCCAGGGATCATTACCAAAATATGAAGCGATCAGGTAAGAGAAAGGGAGATAGAAAGGTTGAGTCAAGAAAGGAGTGCAAGAAGCTGATCCCAAATAAAAAGACAAAATTAAGAAAGGAAAAACATTATGTATGTATATATAAACTAAAAGCAGAGCATATGAATGCTTAATCTGGTGGGAAGCCAAGACAACATCTCTAGAAAAGCTTGATGTGTCACAACAAGGCTCAGCCATAGGGAAATAAGGCAATATAAAAAAATGACCAAGGTATTTTGGTCACAGAATGGTCTCCTTCCTCCTCCCAGCCAACCCCTGCAAATGCATCTCTATATATCTTTTATATATATATATATATGTATATATATATAATATAGAATCTGGTTTTTTTTTTGTTAAAAAGTATTTCAATGATCATATATATTTATCAAGGCATGATGGCTTTAGGGAAGGGGGGGATCCATCATGGGGGGAGCTGAGAAAGGAAAGGCAGGAAGGGGAGGCTGGGGTAAGAAGTATAAGAGACTGGGGTCAAACAAATGCCCATCAAAGGGTGGCACCAACTGAATTTTCACTAATGTTTCCCACTTCAAGGAGGTACTGATGATATAAGTGGGTGCCAGGACCCCATCTCTTCTCTTGTATCCCTTCCCCAAATTCTTCCCATCACCATGCATTTTAATGCCTCATGGCTCTCTCTCCCACATGTCTCTTGGACCCATGCTACCTTGCATCCCAGGGTTGATGGGTATGGCCCATATGTCTCTGGCCCCGGGTGCCTGATCTCAGAAGCCATTGCCACTGATATTAATGGACTGCAGATCCGCCACCTGCATGACGTTGATGCCACTGTTGGCAAGACGGGCAATACCCTCTGGACAAATGGCCTCCATGGCTACCATATTGGTGGTAATAAGGGCTGAAGGGGTGGCAGTGCCGCTGCCTTCTGAACCTGCCCCACTGTCCAGGGGCAAAGTGCCCACACTCAGGGATACACCTGGGCCTCCTTTCTTATTCTGGTGGGTCTTGATATGCTTTGACAGGTGGTCACTCCTCATGAAGCGCTTGGGACACTCAGGGCAGGCAAATTTCTTCTCACCTTGGTAAAAGAAAAGAAGGTAAGAAATGGACATCTTAGGAAGTAGGGTTACCTCATCCAATTCATGGCTTTCAATAGAATACTAAGCAGTCCTAAGAAGGTGATAAAAACAGTAAAAATCTGGTAAGTATCTTTTTGGGAAGTGAGAAGAAAAATAGGTCAAGGTTGAAGAGTACTCAGAAAGGAACATAGCAGAAAAGTAAGGCAGGACTGAGACTAAGAAGAATAAAATCCCATGAAAACCTAACTCCTTTCTTCTTAAAGGTTTTCCAGATTAACTCTAATTCCATTTATGATCCATACAGTCACTTTCAAACTTAAGTTGTTCAGAAATTTTAGTTATTTCATATACATTTTGTGTCTTTCTATTCTGATCTATTATTATTTCTCTCTTCTCTGGACTCCTACTCACCTGTGTGTGTGCGTTTGTGTCTCTGTAGCTCATCCGAGCGTGTAAAGCGCTTCCCACAGTATGACCAGGTACACATGAATGGCCTCTCGCCTGTATGCCAGCGCAAGTGTGCCCGTAGGTGTGAGGTCTTGCCATATACTTTGCCACAGCCTTGGATGTGGCAAATGTGCTGTTTCTTTTTGCCAGGATCCCCAGAGCCCCTGAAAATAAGAACACAACTATTCATTATGAATTCTAGAGAGAAAAATTAAAGAATTCCAAAGTGTCAACAGGTTATTTACCTGATACACTCAAAACTAACCCAAATTTTTATTTAAAAGAATTTTTTTTATGTGTATTTATTGAGACAGAGAGGAACAGAACATGAATGGGGGAGGGGCAGACAGAGAGGGAGACACAGAATCTGAAGCAGGCTCCAGGCTCTGAGCTGTCAGCACAGAGCCCAACGCGGGGCTTGAACCCACAAACCGTAAGATTGTGACCTGAGCCGAAGTCAGATGCTTAACCAACTAAGACACCCAGGCACCCTGCAAATTCTTATTTTAAAAAAAGGCTTCTTATATGGAAACCAATTTGACAATAAACTATTTGTAAAATTATTGAGACAGAGAGGAACAGAACATGAATGGGGGAGGGGCAGACAGAGAGGGAGACACAGAATCTGAAGCAGGCTCCAGGCTCTGAGCTCTCAGCACAGAGCCCAACGCGGGGCTTGAACCCACAAACCGTAAGATTGTGACCTGAGCCGAAGTCAGATGCTTAACCAACTAAGCCACCCAGGCACCCTGCAAATTCTTATTTTAAAAAAAGGCTTCTTATATGGAAACCAATTTGACAATAAACTATTTGTAAAATAAAATAAATAAAATAAAGTCAGATACTGAATGATAAAAAAAAAAAAAAAAAAAAGGCTTCTCGGAGAGCTCAGTCAATTAAGTATTTGACTCTTGGTTTCGGCTCAGGTCATGATCTCACAGTTTTGTTTGAGCCCCATGTTATGATCTCACAGTTGGTGGGATTGAGCTCCGTGCACTGTCAGGACAGAGCCTCCTTGGGACTCTCTCCCTCTCTCTCTGCCCCTCCCCTGCTTATGCACATACTTTCTCTCAAAATAAACAAACTTTAAAAAAAGAAGAAGAAAAAAAGGTTTCTCTTTAGTATCAAAGGAAAAACCTTTAGTTGATTCTGATTCTTCATACCCAAAATTCAAGTTTTAAGTTTCCTTTCTACTGGTTATTTACTCTTTCCTGCTTTTTTATTCCTTAATCAGTTCTGATGTTTGATATTTGTGGGTGACTTGGAAAGTCTCTGAGGCATTTTCCTGTATTTTTCAGGAAGTTTAAGTCTCAATACAAGCATTTTCCATGGGAACTACTGTGAACACAGTGATATTTTTGGCTGGGAACTTACTTAAGGAGCAAAAGGTCTCTCCATTTAAGCACCTCGTGGAGAACTTTAAAGAAAATATAACAGTTTACAACTATAAACTTATCCCCTAAAATAAAGGTCAAGAGCCAAATGGTAAATATTAAAAGCTGGAAAGCTACAGCACTATCAGGGATTTCAGTGGAAGAAGTATAAAGGGCTGTATAAATGTTAAAACGGGGGAATAAAAATCCTACAAGGTATATTTTTTAAAAATGCATTACACACACACACACACACACGTGTATATATATGTATATACACACACTCACATACATATGTATACACACACCCACACATCCAATATGAAGCAGTTCCTAAGCTCCTTTCAGGAATCAGTTCTGAAATGTTTTTGCCAAACCAATTTGTTCCATGTGTGATCCATTAGTGGGCACTGGGGAGATTTCCAGGAGAGACTTTTCTTGGGTTTTAACAGCACATATTAGCAGAGGGAAAAAACTATAACGGAAATGAAATCACACGTAGGTAGAACTTCCTTCAAAAATCTGAATCCACTTTAAGCTTTGTTAGAAGGAAACTACTGTACTCAGTGCTTTTTTATTTTCCCCCAAAGATTTTATTATTTTTAAGAAATCTCTACATCCAATGTGGGGCTTGATTTTATAATCCCGAGATCAAGAGTCACCGGATGGCACTGTCAATGCTTTTGATTCAGGTTTTTCCTATAACATAGGGTTAGCCTACAAAAAGCTCAAATTATTTTTGGTTTTAGTGCTTTTCTTATTTTTGTGTTTATTTTTTAATGTTTATTTTAGAGAGATCGCGCATGCACCACACAGGGGAGGGGCCTTGCGAGAGATGGAAGATCCAAAGCAGGCTCCATGCTGACAGCAGACAGCCCATGCAGGACTCGAACCCACAAACCATGACATCCTGACATGAGCTAAAGTCGGATGCCTAACCAAGTCACCCAGGTGCCCATTTTTGTATTTATTTCTGAGACAAAAGTTTAACAGATTTTTAAAGGCATTAAAACATCTATATGACTTTCCATTTTCTTTCAAAAGCAATGAATTGAAGAAAAATAATAGAACTTGGAACTCTCTAGAGAGAATACTGAATAAAATAGAATATTCTACTAATGAGAAAAATTTGTCAGAACTTTGCACTGCAGGACACGTTAGGCTCCGTGATGGAAGAATTTTCTAATTGGAGTATTTTTGTCTGTTTTGAAGGAAGAGAAGACTCAGAAAACCCTTATGATTCTCACACAGCCACTATAGAAAAAAAGTCACTACAGTAGGTATCTTTCTTTTTCTTTGCAAGACTATTTTACAAGCAACTTTGTTAAAACCATCTCAAAACAGACATATGGTAACAATCATCAGACCAGTTGGCAGCATCTGATTACCTTATCTATGGAGAAAGCAGGCACCTATTAAGGTCCAGGGTCTTAGAGTAGATGAAAGGCTCAGAGCTGGAACCAAAATCCTATAATATAACCCAATCAAATGTACTGTGCTATCTCTATCTCTGGTCCCTCTGCAACACTGCCAAGTCTTAAATGTTAAAAAATTAACCCTCTTCTGCTTAACTCCAAATCCATTAATTTTTCTCCTTTATACTCTTAAGAGACTGGCTGGGTCAATTTACCTTCCTTCACTATCTTTACAATAGGGGCAGGTGCATGCTTCCCGCCGGGTCCTCCGACCAGCCTGGGGTTGGGGATCTGGGCTGTTTTCTCCTTCTTCTCCACCTGCTGTGTCATCATGTATTCCATCACCACCAGCTCCATGGAGGCCAAGCTGAGCTCCATGATCACCTGAAATTAAGAGAGCAAAAGGGTTAAGGGGGGAGGTAGGGGAGGTCATCAAGCTGCAGTTATTTCAGTGACATTTTACATTTACAGCACCATTTCTTCAAAGCTTTGAAGCCGCATTTACTGATATTGCCATCCATTCTTGAAATCTCAAAAACCATCACTGAAAATACAAAGAGCCAGCAAATATATAAAAACATGGTCAATATAATTTAATTTTTAAAAATATTTTATTTTTAAGTATCTCTACACCCAATGTGGGGCTCGAACTTACAACCTTGAGATCAAGAGTTGCATGCTCTGTCAACTGAGCCAGCCGGGTGGCCCATTCTCAATTAATTTTTAAAATGTAATTCTTTTTTTTTTAATGTTTTATTTATTTCTAGGAGAGAGAGAGAGAGACAGCGTGAGCAGGGGAGGGTCAGAGAGAGAGGGAGTCACAGACTGAAAGAGGCTCCAGGCTCTGAGCTGGCAGTCACCACAGAGCCCGACACGGGGCTTGAACCCATGAACCGCAAGATCATGACCTAAGTGAAAGTCGGACGCTTAACCGACTAAGCCACCCAGGCGCCCCTTAAAATGTAATTCTATGTATTGCTGACTTTTGTAATTTTTCACCTATCAGATCACAAAAAGTTAAAACTCTAATAATGCATTAGCATTAGCAAGGATATGGGGAAACAGGCATTTTTATACATAGGTGATTAGAAACCACAGTACATTATGAATGACAATTTGGCAATTTTTTTTTTAATGTTTATTTATTTTGAGAGAGAAAATGGGGGACAGGGGCAGAGGGAGAAAAGGAATCTTTCAGGGATCATTACTTGAGCCAAAATCAGGAATGGGTCACTCAACCAACGTGAGCCACCCAGGTGCCCTTGAGCATGTGACTCTTGGTCCCAAGGTCATGAGATCAAGCCCCATGTTGGGCACAGTCCTTATTTTTAAAAATAAATAAAATTATGGGGCACTTGGGTGGCTCAACTGATTAAGCATCCGACTTCGGCTCAGGTCATGATCTCACAGTTTGTGGGTTCGAGTCCCACGTTGGGCTTTGTGATGACAGCTAGCTCAGAGCCTGGAACCTGTTTGATTCTTTGTCTCTCCCTCTCTCTGACCCTCCCCTGTTCACATTGCCTCTCTCTCTCTCTCTCTCAGAAATAAAACATTTTAAAAAAATTAATAAATAAAATTACATTAAAAAATTACATCTTCAAAGTAATTCCACTTTGAATCAGCAATGTCCTATGGATATACTCATGAGTATACAAAAATATGTGATATATATTTTTTAAGTTTATTTATTTTGAGACAGAGAGAGTGTGTGCAAGCATGAGCAGAGGAGGGGCAGAGAGAGAAAGAGAGAGGGAGAGAGGGAGAGAAGGAGAAAGAGAGAAAGAGAGAGAGAGGGAGAGAGAGAGAATCCCAATAGCCTCCATGCTGTCAGCACAGCACAGCACAATTCAGGAACTGTAAGATCATGAACTGAACGGAAATCGAGTCAAGACACTTTGACTGAGCCACTCAGGGCCCCCTGTGACAGTAATATGTTCTGTAACTTAGTAACAACAAAAAACTAGAAACATGAGGTCACGATCTCACAGTTGGTAGGTTTGAGTCTCATGTGGGGCTCTGCACTGGCAGCGTGGAGCCTGCTTGGGATTCTCAGTCTCTCTCTCTCTCTCTCCCCTCCCCTGCTCGCACACACACTTGCTCTCTCTCTCTCTCAAAATAAACATTTTAAAAAAAGAAATACACATTACAAATCTCAGCTCTGGTACCTAATCTCCACTCTTTTCAGTTTATCAGCATAATTTTGAGTTATAATGCCTAATAATAAGCTCTCCTGGTGCTTTCCTTCTCATTCCACCACTTCCCAAGCATCACCCTAAGGCATTAAAATAAACTGGAATGTTCTGAGATTTTCATGATATTGGCAGAGCTTAAGAGGAAGGCCTGGAATACAAGGCTAAGAACGGGTTTTGGAGTAGGACAGATGCAGATATGTGCCCCTGCACCCTTCTTCAGTTATCAGTTTCTCCGTCAGTAAAACTGGGATGAAACAGTATCAATCTCACAAAGTTGTGAAAAACAAATAATAGATGTAAAGTGCTTAGCATAATATCTGTCACATAACAAACATTTAACATATTGTAGTTAGTATTATTAGGAAAATATCTAGTGGGAAAACAATTGTGAGAAATCACGGAATAAGATATACACCACTATTATATTTAATCAACCTGCCTTAAAAACTATACATGAGGGGCACCTGGGTGGCTCAGTTGGTTAAGCGCCGACTTCAGCTCAAGTCATGATCTCACAGTTCGTGGGTTCAAGCCCCGCACTGGGCTCTGTGCTGACAACTAGCTCAGAGCCTGGAGCCTGCTTCAGATTCTGTATCTCCCTCTCTCTCCCTCTCTCTGACCCTCCCCTGCTTACGCCCTCTCCCTCTCCCTCACAGAAATAAATAAAAACATTAAAAAAAAAAAAAACTATACATGAAACTGAGTGGAAACTCCCTGTAATGGGGATAGATAATTTCTCCTCTTGATGTAAGCCCAAGAAGCTCAGACAGAATGATAGTTAATAATTTTTGGTTACCTACCAAAAATTACCTTCAAAAGAGATAGTTATGAACCTGTAGATTCAGCTATCTATAATAGGTCTTTAGAAACAAAATAAGCAAAACCATGATCCATACAAGCAAATTATCTTTGATCTACTTTCCAAAACTAACCTAACTCCATTAAAATCGGAGAAGCAATTCATTAAACCCCAAAGTTCTCCACTGTCACAATCAACTGGAAAGAAGCAAACTTTTCTCCATTTTATTGAAATATAAGTCTAACATTCAGGATGTGGCATGATTCAGTAAAAAGGGAAACAAAGAAATACTTAGATATTAGGACTCTGTAAAACTGTATCTCTAAGCTTCTATCAAACTCTTACAAAACGGACAAAGCTAATATCCTCCTTGACCCCTGCTATGACTGCAAAGGATTTTTTTAAATATGAAAACTGGAAAATGAGGTTAAATAAAATGAGTTTAACAAAAAGGGATGAAATGCTAACAAAGCATCAGCATCAGACCAGGATCTGTTTCCAGCCTCTTCTAATAACAGTTTTAGAAAAAGAACAGTTTTATCTTAAAATGTGGCATCGGTTAAGCAATGAAATAAATTAAAGATTTTCCTTCCCATGATGAAAATAACGAGTAAACCAAAGGCACAGTTTAATGACAGTCTTGCCCAGCCTAGGGTTGCCTCTAGCATCAGTTATTGAAATAGCTGTGGCAGTTAACACACTTTTTCAGTTTCTTCAAAGGGAAGAAGTGTGCTGAAATCATGAACTTTTAAGACCACCATGAGAAGTCAAATGACCTATTCTTCTCTGAGAAAAAACCCAGGCAATACTAAAATAAACTCCTCAATAATTTTCAAAAGGGTAGTTCCCATACACTTCTCTATTCATCTGGTCTCTGGAATTACTTGGAAGACACGGTGTTCTTTAATTCAGTAATCATTAACGCAGTATGACTGATTTTCAAAACTATACCTATATTAAGCATACACTGAATTTCCTGAACAGGTTTCATTTTACACAATAGATTTAATCCAAAGAATCGAATCTCAATCCAGGAAGGGTTTGTGGGTTCAGCCACATTCAAGCACAATACTGGTAACACATCACCTAAGCATGAGGAACATCCAGAATAAAGCTCTAACAGGAATATAAAAGTGTCTCTAGTGACAGAAATAGATAATTCATAATACATTGTTAATTTTTCAAAATAATGATTTTATTCATTTGGTTTCCCAGTCCAAGCAAATCAGAGAAAAAGGACTAGAAGGACTATACTTTCTATTTTTTTAAATGCTTATATATTTTTATTAAAATTTTTTTAAATGTTTTATTTATTTCTGAGAGAGAGATGGCATGAGGAGGGGAGGGTGTGAGACAGAGGGAGACACAGAATCTGAAACAGGCTCCAGGTCTGAACTGGCTGTCAGCACAGAGCCCGATGTGGGGCTCAAACCCACGAACTGTGAGATCATGACCTGAGCTGAAGTTGGACGCTTAACTGACTGAGCCACCCAGGTGCCCCAATGTTTGTTTATTTTTGAGAGAGACAAAGCATGAGCAGGGGAGGGGCAGAGAGAGAAAGAGACACAGAATCAGAAACAGGCTCCGGGCTCTGAGCTGTTAGCACAGAGCCCAGCGTGGGGCTCGAACTCATGAACTGTGAGATCATGGCCTGAGCCAAAGTCAGACGCTCAGCCAGCTAATCCATCCAGGTGCCCCAGGACTGTACTTTTTAATAGCACAAAAGCTGACAATTGAGAGTGATAAAATATAAATTTTACATTTTTATAAAGAATTTACCAAAAAGTTCATATAGATGGCCTCCAAATTCATCTCTACATTGACTACTTGATTATGATGGAGATACAGTTTAAGAGACAAAATTAATGCTTGATTCTATCAATTGCTAGCTGCATAATTAGTAGGTTTCCTAGAATCCTTGAAAAGTGACTGATGACTTTTTTTCTTTTCTTAAAAAATCAAGTTTATTGGGGTGCCTGGCTGGCTCAGTCAAAAGAGCATGTGACTCTTGAGCTCAGGGTTATGAGTTGGAGCCCTATGGTGGGTGAGAGATTACTTAAATAAATAAATATTTAAAATAAATCAAGTTTACAACCCTGAGAACAAGATCCTGAGATCAAGAGTCAGATGTTCTAATGACTGAGGCAGCCAGGCACCTCTAATGTGAATTTATACTTTCTCTCATAACTTCTACCTTAAATTCTTTTAACTCATTTTTTATGAATGTTTATTTATGGGAGAGAGCGTGGGCGCACATGAGTCAGGAAGTGCAGAGAGAGAAGGGAACAGAGGATCTGAAGTGGGTTCCTCACTGACCACAGACTGATTCAGGGCTCAAACTCACAAACTGCAAGATCATGACTTAAGCTGAAGTTGGACGCTTAACCAACTGA